TCTGAAAAAAAAAAAATAAAAAAAAAAATTTAAAACTCATTCCATGTAACTGACTTTCAATCTGTACAGCAGGACCAGATCCTTGGGAGAACAAGGATGACTGCTTCTTGAGTTCATGCAGCAATTGGCATCAGGAATAGCTCTTCCTAAAGGCAACCAGCCAGTAATTTGCTGGTACATTTCACAGCCATTTGCTTATACCAGAAGAAATTTGAGCCTCAGGCATCCTGGGTTCTGCAGAGGACTGTGAACAAATCTCTTTTTCAGAATCTGGTCTCCCTATTTCTTCCCCTTCCAGCTCCATGAATTCACTCTATTTGCCTTCAACTCTTTACACCTTTGTACTGAAGTCAGATCTTTATTTCTGCTGCTCTTCCATACTACTGCAGCAACATTAGAAGGGCATTGAGAACAAAGGAGAGCCTGTCCCTGTACTCCATTTAAGTAACTAGAGTGTGCAAGAAAAGGCCATCCCAGTTTGCAAGCTTGGCAAGATCAGTGTTGAGCTGACTGTGGTGACAATAGGTGCACAGTCCCCTCCATCACCACAGAAGGGCACTAGGGTGGGACAAGCACTGCAAGTGGTACAGACTCTTCCAAGACATAATCTCAGAGCCTTGTCCACAGAACAGTCAGTTTATGATAGCTCAGTCAAATGACAGCACATCTATAGAAACACTAACAAACCTTTTTCTAATACATAACAGGAATCACCCTTTCCCTGTTCCACTGTATAAAGGAACCACAGAGGTTCTCAGATAAACAGCCAGGAAACTTCAGGACAGAAAGAATGAAGACTTTTTTTTTCCTTAATCCTCCTCTTCCAAATCCTTCCAAACGAGCAAACTGAAGTAGAGTTCCCTGACTTTTTTTCAGGCACAAACTGACACATAAAAATTTCATCTGTAGGATACCTAAATTGCCAGAGTTTTTAGTAACTCAAACCAGGCTCTTACAGAAGAAAGTTTTGGCAGCTACCAGCTCTGCATACAAATCTAGGTATAGAGGAAGTACATTAAGGTATCGAGAATAACGTTTCAGCAGCACGGCTGCACAACAATTCAGTCTGATAGTAACAGTGAAGCCATAACCAAGTAGACAGTATATACAACAGCTCAGATGAACTCCAGCAAAACCTTTATGCTCCAACATATCATCACTCATTTTCTTTTTGGTGCATGCGTCAGAGAAAAATGCTATCTAAGGCATTTGGAATTCAAGACTAGAAGTCTCAGAGATGGCTTTTGAAGTTCAAAGGTATGTAATAAATTAATCAGATGATTCTGCAATTTTTAAAAAAGATGGATATGCCTTTTGTGCATAGGTGCAGGAAAGATTCCTCTTGTTCACCATACATAAGCTTTCTCTTGTAATATGCTACTGCACACTGGCATGAAATACTTCAGTTGGTTAACAAGAATTGAAATACCACTGCAAAATTTAGAGAAGAAAAAGCAGCATTTTGTAACAAGTGAAATTATCATTTTGCCTTCATCTGTTATCAAAGTTAAGAGTTGTGATTGTGCTACTAAATAGAGATGGCTAAATCAAGCAGAACAGGTAGCAAATAAATTATTTGTTATTTACCAAATGATCATTCAAGCAGTGTTTAGCTTATCATTAATTTTTCCTGTGATGTCTTCTACACTGGAGAACTTCTCACAAAATCAGAAAGGGTGGAACTGCATAAACAGGGGCAGCTTTTATCCTGCCATATTTTGTTTATAAGTATCAAGGTATCATATTAACTTCTCTGTTACAAAAAATTGCTGCTCACTTACATCACAGTTGGAAAGTATACATAAGCTTCAAAGCAAAAACGTTTTGTAGGAATTCATCTTTTACTCTTTTTAATTGAAAATTCTTAACCACAGTAGCACAACACAATATATTGTAGAGCTCCTATTAAGCATCAACAAAATTGCTTTGCTACAGTAATACAAAAGCAAATAGGATTCAAGAGAAGTAATCTAATTTTTATCTAATTATAGTAATTTGACTTTATCGGACCTTACTTATAGCTGTGGAAATTGTAGTCATAGTGCTAAAGCATTCTACTTCACAAGCCAGCATAAATTCAAGTACTTCAGATTCTTTGATATTTTTCAGATGAGTGTGAGTATCCTGACGAAAAATGCTTAATGTATCCTGGTCAAACCACTACTTTGTGTCTGTACACTCACAAGCACACTCATAATATTCAGGATTTTTGAATATACAAAATAATTACTTTGCTCTTGTATGTATAATAGGAAGACTGTAGTTCCTCCTGTCCTGAGGTATGTAGCGTTCTCTTGCTACAGACATTCAATTTTATTTTTTTTTAATCCTAAGAAAACCACCACTGATTCAGTTAGCCTGTCTTTAAAGGTAGCACTTCACTCTTACCACCTACTTCACTCTTCCTCACACAGACACTGTAAGTGAAATGCTCATGGTTACTCACATGCCTTTTCATCAGAAAACACATATCCAGCCCTAAAATCAGGACAAAAACAACACGTAAATGTTTTACTGGAGCAATAACCTGGCTATTCAGAACTGGTTACATGGACAGCAAACAAGTCTGTTTTGGTATCCACCTACCCAGTTCAGATAGTGGCAAGCTCCTGGTCTCCAAGAGCATGGCACACCAACCACTGCATGTGAATCTGCTCTCTAACATACCTGAAAGGTCAATATCAATACTTGACGTGGAACTGAAAAATGTGGCTCTTCAGGAGTTGTAGAAGAACAGGAAAGCTCTTTCTAGGCCAGTTGTGTAGCCAATTCAGTTTGCAAAGGCCATGAGGTCTTGAGACAGGAAGCATGAAACTACAATGATGACAATGACTATGCTTTTCATTTACACAGCAGATATTTTATAGCATCTTACAAAGGTCAGAAATCATTTCAAAGCCTTCTAGAACTTCCAAAGTAAAGATTTTTTTTTGCTGAAAGGTAGAAGGGGAAACAAGCCAACTGTTGTTTTTTGCATGAATGTTTTAAAAATATTTTTCAGAACTTTAATCAGTAAATTTCAAGGAACTTGAAGAGATAGATGCTGGATCCGTTTTATAGAGATGAGGCAGTTTATTCACAGTGTCATAACAAGTCATATCAGATCCAGGCAAAGAACATATATTTGATTTCTAGCCTCTGTACTACTGCATAGCATCACTTATTTAATTACAAAACATATTTATATGTATTTAACTAATTAATAATATTATAGTTGTTTTGAATATTCATGGTGGATCATAAAAGCACTCTTATCCTAGAATATTATTTTGAAACTAAGCATCAGTAACTAGGTTTTATCAGCTGCATTTAACTCTAGAAGGCAGCAGCAGTCTTGCATTTTGCAAATGTATCATTAGTCTTTATTTTTCCTTTGCAATACCAGGAAGAGCTCTGGTATTCTGAAATATGACAGACAATACCCACCACAACCCACTACCTCTAGAGACAGTGTTGTCAATTAGAAATACATTCCAATTGTCACAGCTAAGCAATTTCTTAGACTAAGGGGATTCTGAGTGATTTCATGGTACAAGAAAAGATAGTTAATGTACCACAGAAAAATTAAATTGTCAATTGAGGTGTCACATAGTAAATGAAAAGATTTCACTGTCCACTCAAAAAAATAAGAATAATCATGCAAGGGCTACAGTGAAACAAAGATCTGTGTACCTAAGCGTTTAAAGGACTGGGTTTGTCATGAAGAATTCTTTGGGTCCATATAGTCAGGTTTTTTTGCAAGCAGAACCCTAGAAACAGGAGTGCTCAGATTTAAATTGGATTTTGAGAGGGCTCTTTTTCCTGTGGCAGACAGTCAGAAATCCTGCTGACGGTCCAATTTACAAGAAACAGATGATGTAATTTTGATAAAGCTCTCTTCTAGTTTCGTATACCCAAGTGTTCAGACAAATTCAGACTTTTTCCTTTCTGTGAAACATCCAAAAAGGTCAAGATCCCAAAGACTGAAGGGAAACAGAAAGACAAGAAAATAAAGTACAGTATTTATCAACTTCACATTTTAACACTAAGCCATGTGAATGCCTATATGTACATTCTGTTGTGTTCGGGAAACTACATGCATACTGCATATAGTGAAGTTTCTTGACTCCTATAGTTATGTAATAATAGGATTGAAAATCACATCAACAGACAAAATGCTGCAAGTAAAAGGACAGTATTTATTTGTTTGTTTGTTTATTTTAAAACATTATTACACTGATAGAACAATATTTTAAAAGGAAGACCATAATATATTCATTCAAAACTAGGCTGTTAAGCACATATATTTAAATTCTAATTTTTCGTACACATAATGAAAGGCAATTATATTTTACAAATACCTATTTTTAACAGATCTTATGAAAAACATGTTTAAAAATAACTGTCAAAATCTGCCTCCTTAAATATACAAAACACCCTTGCTGCACTGAAGCTCTTTCTTAAAAGCCAAAAATATCTAAGTCAACAGCTGAGTCCGCATCAAACCCTACTGAAAGTAGTAGTGACATAAAAATGTAAAAGCACTATACAAAGTAAGCAGAGCTTTTGTTTATCTTAATACTGTACATATTTTTTTTGTTTTAAAAATGTTTTATAAAAACTGCTATTATTGAATTTAACATCCTTTCCTGTCTACAGAAAAAATGAGCCACTGAAATTATCCCTGTTTACTAAAATGTCCTCTCTTCTGAATGTGAATCTTCTCTCATAATTCAAAGGGAATTTTACCTCTTACTTCAATGTGAGCAGGACTGAAGGTTTTCTTCAGCATATTACTGTGCAATCTCCCTTACTCTCATCTGGTTTATTCCTTAGTTTCATAATGCAAAACATTACAAAATCTTTAATACATTAACTGAAGAAATCAGAACTCAAGTACTTCAGTTTACAAGGCTGGTGTATGGATTAGTTCATTGTAAAACTGAGTGTTCAATTAAACTGAAACCAATTGCAAATAATGCTGCATGCTTTCTAATCAACATCCTTCTCTCTTGCTTCCTTTATAGCCCCTTCTGGCATTTCTTCTGGAATGAGCTTTTTAAGAAGGTGCGGTATCCTGGATCATCCACATATTCATTCCTAAAGCGGGAACTCAATACTCTCTGCCTCTTCTTCTCTCCCAAGATAATATCTGCTCCATAAAATGTGTCTTCAAATCTCATGTCAGAGGCTGTAGACTAAAAGTAGGCATTAATTACACATACAGCTCCAAATAGGCCATCATATTCTGACATATTTTAGATAAGTTACATGGAAACACAGACATATTTCACTAGATCGTATGAAGCTAGCTACATTACTGATTATGCAGTTACAACTGTTTTTAGGAAAATGTCTAAATATTAAATATATCTTAAATATATATATTAAATATATATTTTAAATATACATTTTAAATATAATTTTTACTTTTCTGTATTTTGCATGTACTACTCATCTTTTAACTCTCTAGGTGTGTCGCGTTCCTTAGAAACTTGTGACTAACACTAGTTGTTAGTTTTGATTCTATCCAGAGATCACAAATCACTATAATTCAAAGTGAAAAACAGCAACGTGGAAGTGATGCAATTGTTGGGCAGGTTTGATCCTAGCAGTATCAAGTATTATCCATCATTTTGTGTTATTCAGAAAAGTTTTAAATGCAAGGTACTACAGCATGGACCTCTGAAAACGGTACACTGCCTAATTTGCAAAGATTCAGAGCCAGAAGTTCAGTCATTTGTCAGCAAACTTAAAAAACAGTTGGGCATCAACTGAAAGAAAGCAGCGGGACAGCAAACAGCAGGCCATTTGGGAAAAAGCAGTGGCAGAAATTTTTGGACCAGCTTCCACTACTGGAGTCATGTAGTGTAATTCACAGGATTAGGAAAAGCATTATTTAGAAGGAATTGGTGTCATTTATTTCAAGAGATGGAAACAGTATCACAAACTGTCTTGAAGTTGCACTGTCTTCAGCATGAGGAGGGGAAGGAGGTATTAGGCATATCTTGAGGACTAAGCTACATATTTATAGAATTTGAGGCAATAGTAGAAAATCATGCAAAGGTCTGAGCACAGGCTGTGGTTTGTTTTATTTAGTAGACCAAATTCAATGTTTTTAATCTATACTTAACTCCTCTGTGAAGTTAATGGTATCAAATACAAAAAAAATAAATATTGATCAATAAAAACTTCATTTTAAAAAGAGTAGCATAAACTCAACCATGTTTGTATTGTTATCCTTAGTGAAATGCAACAGTTTACATTCTACAGAGCATGTGGTTAATTATAAATACTTTTTACACATAGTCTCTAAGACAAAAAATGGCAACAGAATTCTTTCTGAGTATAATGAAAAATCCGATTGAATATAACCAGATGGTTCATTTAACATTTTCCAAGACATCTATCTTACCCCTAGAAGGTCAGGACAGTGAAAGATGTGTGCACTTATCCCAAATACATTGACAAAAAGGTGCCTTCGCCAAGAATATTTGACCACGACACCTCCCATTAGAAAGAGCTGTCCTAATCTTACTCTATTCCTTCAGTAACACAGGGCATTCTGCCAGTGAACACTCCCTCAGCAGGCTGACAGCCTCACTTTTCTCTGTTACTCTTCCTTTCCCAGCTTTACCACCCCTTTCATACATGATGCCAATCATTCCCTTTGACACACTTCTAGCTTTTGAAATATACAGCATCGATGTTGGGGTTGGCTGCCAAGAACTGGATGAAAGGAAATGATGATAATAACAATGATGGCAGCTGCATGTGGCAAGAAGCACAGAAAAGGAAAGTCAGGCTGAAATCTCCTTCAGCTACCTTGCCAGGTAATGCTATGTTAGTCCACCAAACTCATATAAGCTGACATATGCCTGAAGAATCAACTCTATACATCATTCCCCTACAACTCCTTGCATCTAGCTTTCAAGAATGGATGTGTGAACAGGTATTGTGTATCAGGCCACCTCCCTGCAGCAATGAAAAACATACTGTATGCTGCTGTTCCTTTCAAAGTCTCACTGAAAGGATTCTTCAAGTAACAGAGAATTTTTTATTCACAACAGTGAATTATTGTTTGTTCTCAATTATGACAAGATTTTTGCATCTTTATGCTTTGGTTTTACATATTAAGAAAGCTAACATTTAACTTGCAATGCAGTTTTGAATAAACAGCTCTAAGACAGAACATGGACATGAGAAGAACATGGTACTCTTCTGAATAGACTTGGTAATGTGCTGAGTTGCACAATATTTAGCATTAACAACAAAAACAGGTAACAGCAGTCTCCTTGTCTCCTCCAACAACTGTATGGCAGAACTTTCCCCTTTCAACCTTTAAGTACTGTCCCCTTAATGAACCTCAATACTTTTCCACATGTGGCATACAGACAAATATGACTAGCTGGTGGATGTTGCTTCAAACTGCAGGAAACTTAAAAAAAACAGCAAAGATTTGGTTTTAAACCCAAGACTACTGAAATGCTGACGAGTCCTGCCAGTGACATTAATGAGTTCTGATCAGGCACTTCGTTTCTTAGAACAAGTTAATTGCATTTTTATTAAATTAAATGTTTTTAAAATCACTAAGCTCTGAGAACTTGGGAGGTTTTTTAAAAAGTATACGAATGTTATAAGTATACTGAAAGAACAGCATGTCAGTCAATTTAAATATTTACTAACTTGATAATTCATGATCTGACAGACAATCAACCAAGATGTCCCTTTTAGAAGAAAATAATTATGTTTGACAGCAGTATTTGCCTGTACTGGAAGAACAACTAACCATTCTCACTATCAAATGGACACTTGTGTTAATCGTTGCGCTGATTTAGATTAGCCAGTCATATTAGTACGGGCTTCACAAGACATTTGTCCAATTTAAACTGAAAATCCAGAATAAAGCTAAGGATAATGTTTTTGGCATCTTGAGCATATATATTATAAACTTATTATCAGCAAGTACTCACAAAACGTGATTTTACTCTCTTAGGAAGCTCTTCATCTAGTGTATAGATCTCTTCTCTCTTCATTACTATTTGAGAACCATCTTCAAACTCAACCTAAATGAAAAAAGTGAGTATTTGAAAATAAAACAACAATTTAACTCATGCAAGAAGTTCTTGTGAATGTCTCCAGACAAAAACATATGTGCAATCACAGAAGATTTATACACAAATATTTTGCTATCTATTTTAGGAAAGTAAAATTAGGATAAAACATAAAAAGTGTTATTTCTTAGGAAATGTAACACATACCTAAGTTGAAAATAATATCTAAGCAAAGAGACTTCAAAATCAACAGTGACACATAGACAATAAAGGAAAATTTATTAGATTAGGAATGCCAAGCAGTAACAACACAGAAAACATTGTTTTGTAGGAGTGACACATTAAAATGTCTTCATGTCATTTTTATTCACCTCTTTTTTTTTTACTTGCTTCTAATAAATAAAAAAAATTAATCTTAACACCCTGTGATTCAAGGTTGAGGAAAACCATGTCAAAAGAAAGTAAGTATGAGTGACAACTAAGGAAATACCAGTTAACAGAATTTTATTGAATCTGATGGAATTTCTTTAAAATGCTGTGTTCAGAAGATGAAAAGCTTTATCATGCTTAGCTTTAGATTGAATTCAACATGAACCCCGTTAGCAGAAAATGAGAAAGGAAATGTAACTAGGTGTGGGGAATGTTAAAATGCTGAGGCTCTGAAGCATTTAAGCTTTTTCAGTAGCTGGTGATTATTTTTTTTTAATACTTCATCTAAAAATTGTGAATTTCAGCTATTATCTATGACTGCAGTTTTAGTTCCCACAGAAACTGTACTTTAAAGTTTGGTATAAAATTAAAAGAAGTCCTATTCCACATCCTTAGGTGACTTAATGAGACCACGTCAATGACAACAGCAGACTTGGGCTGGAAGAATAAGCTCAATATCAACATAGGAAAACATTGACTTATCAAAAGTATTATTATAGATAAAACTGTAAAATCATGTATTTGAACTTGTAAATGGACTGGGGTTTGTAGGTTCAAATTAAAACCTTGCCATGACTGAGTATGTCAGATTGTCAACAGCTGAAAAATCCAATACAGTATATCCATTCTCAAAAGCCAGGAAACAGATCTATGAACTATTAACTTCTTTTAAAGCAATTTTTTTTTTTAACAGCAATTAACACAAATGCACAAATTTGGAATGCATTTAAAATCCACAGAGCAGAGATGGATAAATAAAGTCACAAAAGTCATTCTTGCTCCTCTCTGTTCCTGTTACTAATCCCATAAACCTAGTCTGTTAATAGTATGTTAGAGGAACTTAAAGGTCAATTTGGCTTAAGCTTGTTTAATAAGATGATGGCAATTTAGGTATTTCTCACCACGATGCAGGAGCAGCCTTTCTGCTATTCCTGCTCTTTACTGCACAAAACATTTGGTAATATGTTTTTGCATAATACAGTTGGTAATAACGCTTTTTGCATCACTGGTGAAAAAACGGCAGGAAATGAACTCAGCCAGCAATCAGAAAATCACCTCCTCAATGGGCAATGTTTTTCTTTTTACTGGTAGTGTGCAGCAGGAGGCAACTGCTTCATACCACAGAATCTGGCATGCTTGCAGTATGAAATATATTGAACATTTACAATGAAGAGTAATTGGAAGTTCTTCAGCTATAATTCAGCATACCACACTGGAAATAAATGTGCCTACCATTAAAGGCAAACACAACAAGAGCTGCTCTAAGATTTTCAGTAGTATCAGCATTCATGCAAAATATAAATCCACCATCTCTAATAGTTCCAATTTAATTCAGACTGCAGATACTACATTTCAAATCATCAATTTTATCCAGCAAGTTATTTTATTTGGACTTCTGTTGCTGTGCTGTGTCTGCGTAGCATGTTATTCTCTCCATGAGATTTTCTTTTATCAGGGCATGATAAATTAAAGGCTCAGCTGAAATTACTAGAAAGCAATTAATAGAGTGAATGGATAATTTAATAATCTCATATTAAACTAAAAAATAGTGAATGTCAATATAAAAAATTATCAAGAAATCAAATGTAGATCACACTAACAATTTCACTTGCTTCATTTGGCATGTATAACTCTGCTTAGGGATTATGTAGGATACTTGGTGGCAAAATGTCAAACTGGATTCACATATTCTGGTGCATTGTGTCATAGCTCCTGCATGCAGAGGTACTGTCACATTCGGTACAAATGAATTCGGTCTCACAAATATGAGGAAAATTCACAGATTTATCTCAGTAGAACAGATTTGCTGTATTAGATCATAACACTCGTTTCAGAGAGTTCTTTTCAGTCTCTTTTTTTTGTCACACCATCTAAGAGATCACACAAGAGACTTGGTAAGAAAATCTCAAAGGTGCAACAGAGAGTTCATAATCCAGAATAAGAACAGAGTATGCGTATGCATGGGTCCTGGGAGCTTTCAGACGGGCAGTGTAGAAAGTCCAGAGGAAGAACTACTAATGTATCTTGAAGTTAGCATTGCACCGTCCATGCCATAGACCTTTTTTAACCTGTGGCTATTTGTGGCAGCCTCCTCTCCTGTTCTACAGATCAAAATATTTGGTTTTTTCCAAAGTCCTATGTAGTGCAATCTAGACTCAGTCTCATCTTTAATCTTTGCTGTTTCCCCTGTGATAGGAGCTGTTACAAGGCAGTTTAGAGTAATCTCCCATGACTGTTATGCTGAGGAACTCCAAACCTTACTGAACCTACACATGCTAATCCATTTTCCTTAAACTAAACTGATTTCATCATGTTGTCCAAGAGGTCTAAAATAAGACAAAGAAGTTTGTTTTGACTATGTCAGATTCCTTCAAATATGAATGATAACAACATTCATCTAATCTACCTCACAGTATTCCTCAGAAGACCAGCTGTTCAGAAGATTAAATGATTTGAAGATTAATGTTACTATAGAACAATAATCTTTATATTTTATAAAGAACTTTTCACCTTCACATAATATAGCTGTTAAATATAAGGGAAGAGGCAAGATTTAGAGACTAGCTCAAGGGATCAGGCATTTGAAGACTTGAGTTTGATTGCAAGTCATTGGCAAAGTGAGAAGGTCAACGCAGCAAGTCATTTAGTCTCCCCATGCCTTAATTTATCTACAGGTATAATAGTAAATTTGCCATTTTTGTACAGTAATGTGAGGCCCTCGGATGAAAAGTTAGATAAGTGAAAATGATTATGTATATATATACATGAAATGTACCTAGATTCTCATTCTTTCAGAAGTGCTATTATTGTGATTGTTTTATTGCAGTTTCTACCATTCACTTGGGTACTCAAAGTTGCTGACTGATTTTTCTCAAAGGCAAGCACATAAAAACCCAATTATTGTATCTCTGAAATCAGAAGTCAGCTTTTTAGTCTTGCCTTCAGTGTTCAGTTCCCTTTTGCCTTTGTTGAGAATAAAACGCTCCTTAGATTATCTGTTAACTAATTCAAAAGTGCCTCAGACAAATGAAAGTGCAGCTATTTATGCTCTTCTTTTTACTGTCCTCCTGTCCATCCTTTTATGAAATGCCTAAGGTTCATTGTAGTCACGTACCAATACTTAATTGTATATTATTAATTGTATAATTACCTGACATTAAATAGAAGTATATAACCTAGAGAAAATAACAAATGTTATCTTTCAATCTTAATGTTCCACCTGTTCACCCGAGTTCTTATTAAATAAGCTGTTTTCTTGATTTTATAAGAACAGGTGAAACCTCAGCTCCCAAAGAGTGCATATCACTTGTTAATGGTTTAGACAGCTTTATTTTTTCATTTAAATGCATTAGTAGTTGCAATAAAAGTCCATACTCCATCCTTCTGCAGCTTTGAAGGTGTGGCTGGACACTCCAATGCTAGAGCCAAATGAGCAATTTGCAATAAAGACATCTGAAAAATGAGCACATGGTCATAAATATAGACACTTACCTGATACATGTGAGCTGTGTTTGTTCCCAGATACTTTGCACCATACAGTTTTCCATCAGGCCACTTCACTTGGACAACCTCTCCCTCTGCAGGTGGGCCCAGCCTTAGGCAATCTCTGCTCTATTTACAAAGAAGGATGGATTCTCAAATCAGTGAGTGAGCCACTACACTGAAATTACCAGTAAACTGCCTTTTACAGCTTGGTAATTGGAGGAGATTTATTACCATGTGTGTTTCAAGTTTTATAATCCTGCTAATGGGCTAACAGAAGATACTGTTAGCCTTTATGAAAATGAAATAGTGACCAAAGAAACACACTCTTTACAGCTTGATGCTTCATTGGCAAGGCAACATATGCATAAATCAGATAGCTATCAGCAACTGTGATACATTTCCTCAAAAATTAATGTCCATCACTCATTGAAAATACAGATCACTAAAGTGCAATTGCGTATGTGCAACACTTTCTCTTTTACATATTCAAGTAACTTATGTTTTGTTAACCACAGCACATTTTTGCTAGATGCTAACTTTGCTGACTAAAACACACTCTGATGGGTCAAACTGTAAATGGTGAGAATGACAATGAGTTCTTTGCTCAGCTGATGGAGAAACACTGAAAGAATACAAATGCTTACAAAGAAGTATTAGGTGATAATTTTTTTTATTTTTTTCAGAAGCTATGAAGCAGTTTTTTCCTGTGCTTTGGGCAAATTTTGTGCCTGATTTGTTGAGCATGTCAGAGAGCACAGTTTGCGCTACTTGCAATATATCCTTGTTATGGTTTGCTTTGCCTCGTATGGCTCAGTATGACCTAAATAACTCATTTGCAGAACATGCAGACCACACACCCATAACAACAGCTGTTCACATGAGGAAATACACAACGCACCAGAAAAGGATCTTGTCAGGTCTGCGCTCACCAATTCTTTGCAAGCTATCTCTGCCATATACTTACTCCAACAAATGCATCTATACTTTGTACTGACCACATCACAAGACTTGTCATATAAATTAGCGCTAATTTAGTGGTATTCTCCTAGGTGTGAGAGGACCTACTCGGTGACCACGTCAACTGAGCTCACTGCTAAGAGGTCTAGACTGGGAAGAGAAAAGATAAAGCCAAGGACTCAGTGACAAGGTCCTGCAGGACCTAGTATTATCTCAGGTTGTTGCAATATTATTACTGTTTTCAAAGTTTCAGATTTACATAGAATAATTTACAAAAATACTGTATTTTTGAGTTCAACAGTTCACTTCCAACAGAGACCAGCAATCGTCATGACAAAGAACTGAAAATGTGGGAGTAAAAAAATGTACCATGGTAATCCTTATTGGGACATTATCTTGTTATAATATGCTAGCCAAATCCAGGCTTTATAAACTCTTTTTTAATCACATGTATCTTAATCTGTAAATTTGATCCAACACATGAGAAAAGAAGTGAAAAGCTGGATTTTCACAGAAACACACTTTGCTGCATGACAATACCGTCTCTGTCGTCCCTCAGGTGCTGTGCCAAGGGGACAGCTCTAAAATATGCCCCGCATGTTTGCCTGGCAAAGTTTGCTTTGACAGACACAGAAAGATGTATGTTTTCAACTTTACCACATATTTGGGGTAGTAGGTGGCATTATTGTATTACCCTTTCCAGTATTTCCAGGAGAGGCGGGAGGAAAGGGGAAAGGATGGCTGCTGTCGAGTTTCCAACAGTGGAATAATTATGACTTCTCAGGGGACAGGGATTGCTAAATACTATCAAAGCTCTGGCTATAAATTAAATAAGACTGTATTTTTAATGCTCTCTTCTCAGTGATGACTGTTAAGACGGTTATTGTCATTATCCTACTTCTTCCTCTATGTATTTATTGCTAAAGTGCAAAAAGGAGTCTTGGCTAAGTGTCTTGAGCCAAACTTTTAAATGCATCATGGAAGATAGAAAATTTCATGAAAATAAACTATCTATCAACAATGTCAAGCCAAATATTAATTTTCCAAGAACAAAAGCCCAGCATGAATTCCTTCCTTTGCGCCTCGCACAAGAAAAAAATCTCAGTAATAGAATTGCTCATATGGAAAATTAGAGTTCTCATGCAAATAACTAGACAAATAACAATGCCATTCTTCATGTATCACCACAATGTCTTAGTCTATGGAACAATGTTTGGGAAACCTGTACTAAATAGTTTTTGCTGATTTCTACAAGAGTATCTACCTTTTATTTTCATATAACATAACCATTTTAGAGATTCTCTTTTTAGTGCAAGAATAATTCTCACCATTTTCTTCTGGGGAATGATTAGACCCATTTCGTAGACTGACAGAATTGCAAAAATGCAACCTCACTTTTCTCAGTCATGCAATGAAAAGTCAGACATCAAGATATGGCAATCCTTCAACATTCCTATACACCAGCTGTAAATAATATAAAGTGTGGGCTCAATCCACATTCTAAAACAGGTACATTTCCTGTATAATTACATAGTACATTTTCTTCTTCACACAAATGGGCAAAATCATGCTTATCTGTACTGAAAAGCTGATTCACTTAAGTGTCCAGTTTCACTTTCCAGCTATTTCTAGCTGTTCCTGTGTCCAGTTCTGGGGCTCTCGTTACAAGAAAGACATTTACATGCTGGAGTGAGTCCAGAGAAGGGCAACAAAGCTGGTGAATGATCTGGAGCACAAGTCTGATGGGGAGCAGCTGAGGGAGCTGGGGTTGTTTAGCCTGGAGAAGAGGAGGCTGAGGGGAGACCTTATAGCGCTCTACAACTACCTAAAAGGAGGTTGTAGAGAGGTGGGGGTCGGCCTCTTCTCCCAGGGAACTCGTGATGGGGCAAGAGGGCACAGTCTCAAGCTGCACCAGGGGAATTTCAGGCTAGAAATCAGGAGGCATTTCTTCACAGAAAGGGTCATTAGGCATTGGGTGGGCTGCCCAGGAAGGTGGTGGAGTTACCATCCCTGGAGGTGTTTAGGAAAAGACTGGATGTGGCACTTAGTGCTGTGGTCTAGTTGACATGGTGGCGTTAGGGCAAAGGATGGACTCAATGATCCCAGAGATCTCTTCCAACCAAATTGATTCTGTGATTCCATGATTCACATTCCAGCTATTTCACAGCTCAGAGCCTCAGCTCCACTCACGGTCACCTACAGAATGTTGCTCAGGGATATGTCCAGTTGGGTTTGAGTATCTCCAAGGATGAACACTTCTCCACCTCCCTAGGCAACTAGTCCAGCATTTGACAACCCTCACAGTGAAAAAGTCTTTTCTTAATAAAATTCCATGTTAAGGAATTTCTTGTATTTCAGTTGGAACACATTGTCTTTCATCCTGTCACTCTGCACCACTAAGAAGTGTGTGGCTCCATCTTCTTTACTTCCCCCATCAAGTACTCATACACTTGGATAAGATACGCCTGAATCTACTATTCTCTAGGCTGAACAGTCCCAGCTCTGTCAACCTCCCTCATACGACAGATGCTCCAGCCTCTTCATCACCTTCATACCCTTTCATTGTATTTCCTCCTGTATGTCCACATCTTTCTTGTACAGGTGAGCCTGTAACTGGATACAGCACTCCAGATACAGTCTCACCAGTGCTAGGTTTACAGCCATTCCATAAGTTTCTTTATGAACAAAAACCTGTAAATAACAATTAATTCTAAAACTTTTCTTGTTTACTACAGGTGGTATTTTCTAGTTTTAGAAACATTCATTTTGGGGTTCACTATATGCATTGAACTAAAGTAGTATGCAATCCATTCACAACAGATGTTGAAAAAATATGTTGAAATACTGGGTTCGTCTCCTATGTTGTCACTAATGAATTCTTGTGTACAGCACTACAGATAAAGTAGAAATTTTTGCTATTTTTCTCTTCTGATATTCCTTTGTTTTTACTACAGACACTAAACAATACTTTGGTTCATTAAGGCTGGACAGAGCATTTGCAAGTAAGAAATCCCGTTGTACTGACAGTATGGTGATCATTGACACAGAATATGAACAAATGTGAAGCTACACTAAGAAAAAAAAGGGAGGCAGTCTGCACCTGAAACATGCACTTGAATCCAGGAACTATGAAATGTTGCAAGATTCCCATAGTTTGAACACAGTCACTGACACCTGAAGAAAATATCTTAATTTTTAAAAAGTTAAAAAAAAAATGTTCAAATGCTTTCTTAAATCAAGGCTAAAAAGTATAGTTATTCTGGTGTAAGATGAACTTATGAACTATTGAGACTGTTCTGCAAAACTGTCAGAAACAGATGTTCCTTGGATACTTACAATTTTATTTTGACAATGTTTTGCCTGGCAATTATGTTATTAATTCAGCTATTTCAAATTCAACAATTATTTTCAAAATTGTAAGAGCCTTTGACTTCTAGGTTTGATCCAAAGGAGCCACACTGAAAACAAATATCTTTAGTGAATTCAGAGTAAACAGAAAACTTTGTGGTGTGACCCTCAACATCAATGGGGCTAAATTGGCTCATATCTTCAGGCACTTGCTAAAATAAGCCTGCAAGTTAAATTGATAGTAGAAAGGATACTGCAGTCTTTCATGTCAAGATTGTAGCAGGAAAGGATGAAATTATTCTGTGACCACAAATATCAGCCAACAATTAGTTTAGCTGAATATACTTTTCATCCTTTGAAGTTACTCATTATTTCTGCACCATATGACATCAAAACCCTCTAGGAAGACATATTCCAATCAATCAAGAGCAGTCTTGCAGGAAGCCTATATAAGAATCCATTCCATTGTGCTGCTGTGGCTTTGTGTATCAGAGGGTTCTTGTGAATCCCGCTATGCTGTTCTCATGCAACTTGGCAAGAAGGAATGGCAAAAGGCAGAGAGGTAAGCAACATCGTGGCTTTGACCCCGCAACATGCCTGGTGATACAGATGCTTTCCATATTGTTCCATCCCTGATGCATAGGAGCCATGGCACAATATTGTAATCCTCCTCCTGGCAGACTGAAAGGTGATAATTTAGCCCTGAGGTTTCAGAGATCAAAGAGAAATAGACACTGAAAAGACGAACTAGAGCTAAATTGGACTCTGTAACCACGATAAACCTGGCCTTCCTATCCTGTGTATCTATATATTTTTTTACT